GTTTGCAAAGCGTATTATACAAATCATATTAATAAGCTAAAAGCAAACTTTTAAAAGCTCATAAAAAGTTTTTTACATTCAGTGGAAAAGGGTATTAAAAAAAGATTTTGTGATTGTACATTGATTTGTCCTGGTTTCAGGACTAAATATCATATTTAGGGGTGTGCAAGAGTGAGATTTTTGATCAAACCGAGGTTGATTGGTTTTGAGCCAAGCTTTTTATATGATGAATTGTACATACCGTAAAAAAACAAACTAAACAAACAAATAATTTACAAATTTTTTTTCAAAATGAAGTTTAATAATATGCTGTATTTAGACATGCAGTATTAAATAAATGTACTAATAATAAATGTGGTGTTAAGTCCCATTCTCAAGTGGACATCATCATCGTCTTCCGCAACCGCAGAAAAATTCCTGCTCATCACCTGCGCACACACTTCCACACATTCCAAACCACACTTCAAAAACCTGAATACGGTAACAGAAACATCACCATAGTCTTCTACGATTGCGGCAAAATTCTGAACTAAATCTGCGGTTTTTATAAATCAGAACTGTCTTCTGTGATCACAGAAATGTTATTGTCATCCCCGGCGATCGTAGCCAAATCCTGTACATATACCAGGGTTTTGGAAACATTATCATCGTCTTCCACAATCACAGCAAAATCCTGAGTATCTCTTGCAGTAACAGAAACAATGGAAACATCATCATAATTTCCTGCAATCGCGGCATAATGGGGGTCAAATCCAATGTCATGAAAAAATTAATCATCGCCTTGGGCTGTCGCGGCTAATCCTAGATTTCTACTTTGGTTGTATGGACATTTTTATACAGTACAATATTCAACATCTACAGTCACAGAAACTTTATCGTTGTCATCTGCATTCTCAGCAAAATAGAGAATTTTCAATTTCTATTTTGACCGTGATCCTTGCAGTCTTTGTTTTGCGTTTGTTTTCTGACTTGGCGTTCAATCTCTTAAGTTGTAGGTCGGCTCAGGTTTATAATCATACCAATCACACTTCTAATCATATTAAAATGCTTTAAATGTCAACTGTGATTCCATATATTAGTTACCCTCTCAACTAATATATTTCAGAATGAGAAAAAAATGAAGAAGGTAATAATGCTGGATAATAATTGTTAGACATTTTAAGAGGCTTATACCATAATTTTCACTTCTGTAGTATATTTATTGGGTATTTTTAAGGTTCGATATTGTACAATTTTTTTTTTGTAATCTTATTCTCTTAATATTGGCAATCATGTCTCTTCCCAATATGTAGGCCTGTTTGATTTTGAGTGTCCAATAAGTCAAAGTTTTATGCCTGATTGAGTCTAACATCTTCAACTCCTAGATATGATTTCATACTACTGTATATCTGTCCCCTATAAATCTGTTCTGTGATATTGTACTAAAAACATTAATATTAATAAAAATCAAGGAGGAGAGTATATTCCTCCCACCTAGACTAAAGTAGCTTTTCTGATCCTAATAAATAGTTTTTTATTGTCCCTAATAATTATTTTTGTTAAGTTTGTTTGCCTGAAAAGTTATTTTAAGTTTATATTATTTATGTTTTATAAAGTGCTATCTACATACACGTAACACTTTTCACAGCTAAATTTAACTGATTCAGTTAACTTATCCAACAATAACAATTTTAAAAGTATTAAATAACTAATAGACGTTTGTGGTTCACTTGGAAAAATAATTCATGATTGGATATTTCCATATGCATAATTTAGTTTTGTAGTAATGTATAAGGTCTTCCACACCCCTGGCCTCTCTTGAACATGTGCTGTGTCTTTAAACTTTTTGTTGAACTCTTGAAGGTGATTGAATACATGATTACTCAATGCTACAAACATATCTTTACATAGGTATATCTATATCTAATGACTTTTGGAAGATTATGGAATTTAGGGTAAATTGACTTTAGAATTCTTTCCCTATGAAAATTGTTTAAGTGCTTTTACTGTTACATACATAATGAATGTTATATTAATTTAATATAGAGACTTAAATGAAATTAAAAATTACTATGAATCCTAAACAATGTTGTGAATGCCAAAACGTTCAACATTGGTTATTGTTAGTTGACAAAATTGTATCGGTTATAAAAATTAATTTAATTAGTTTACCATCCATGTTCATAAAATGAATGAAAATGTCTTGTACTGTTTACATGCAGAAAAAATATGTGTAACAAAGGGGACTAGAGTTTAATTATTGTGAACTGAGGTTTAAGATGTGTGCAATCAATTTATAATCTGTTTATAATAATATTGTTTTTTACAAAGTTGTAGATCAGATAATTTTACTAACAACACTACTATATGCCTAACTTTTATTCACTTCATTTTATTTTTTTTTTTTTCATTTTAAACGTTTCTGTTATTAACAGTTTACATGTTTCGCCTCTTTATCATTTAACTTTTCAAAGTTTTTAAACTCTAATGTCTTATGTACTACAATTTTGTCTCAACCTTTTACTTCCAAAAGTGGGGTTTGTCTCGTTTGTGTTTGTGTGTGGTTTTAATTTGAACTAAAACATCACTATTGATTTCAAGAGTTCTACTTTTTTGTCGCTTCGGTTGCAGCAGCTTAAATTATTTGCTTTCATTGCGCCTGGCAGTTTGAAATCTCACTTGCCAATGTGTAGTTTTACTGATTTATTTCCGTTTTAGGGGATTACGGTCTAACCGTGACTGCATGAGCACCATCAATTCAGCTTGTATTTCCAAGCGTCCTGACATCCGTTTCTGGCCGAGACAAGTAGAGTTACGTTTTTGCAGTTACGTTGTGAAGATGTGATTCACTCACAACATTGTTAATGCTATTCCAATCTTAGCTTTTATTTGTGACAATAACTATTTATTTTGACAGGTATTTCGTTAAGTATTAGTTTTACATATTTTATCATATGACTCGTAATAATAAATACAATAAAAATATGTACATAATACAATAATCAATAACATGTATTTTGGGGGCAGATAGTAAGAAGCCGAACGACTTAATTATATCATTCACTGATTGTCGTCAAACATGATCTACCTGTGACAAATAATTCTCTTAAATAGTACTCTTAAATACTTACAGAAGATGTATTAAGATTAGGCTACGCATAATGTTTAATTATTTTATTATAGATACCGGTGTTTAAAAGGTTGTAATGGAATTGATATCTGTGTTAAACACGCTTTTTACCATTAAAAATTAACTTGTTACAGGGTAATTTACTTGTTTTGAAATGTTTAAGTTTTACCATTACAGTTCTTAGATTTAATTCATGATTTTTATTAACTATTATTACAAGTCTGTAATTCCATGGTCCTTGATCTGTCCTTGTATTCTTTTTACAATTGTTTTTCATTTTGTTATTTTTTTCTGTTGGAAATTTAATTTTTTTTTTTAGAAATTTTGTATGGAATACACATACTGTGTAGAGCTCACAGCAAAAGAATTTTATAATTTAACACATTTGATTTAATATTTATTTCATATTTAGACTAATCTATATAATCTGTTGATGATAAAAGTGCAATAAAAACTGTCATAAAGAATAATATGAAGAAGAAGAATGAAATTTCCAGCCCTGCAATTTAGGTAGTAATTTCAGGATTGAGTTCTTTAACTGCCTTTTTTACTTTACCACTTTACCTTAGATTAATTATATTGTTTGTTAATGTTTTTGTACCTAGGATCTTAAGCCCAGTTATTAATTCATCTACAATTCTCTGAGTCATGCATCAAACTTCTATCATTACTAAATTAGTTATATTTCATATTCAACTCCTCAATAGTACTTGTGTTACTTTAACTGATGGATTTCATTCAATCCTCCCAATTCCAGATTTTTTAGATATTCATAACTCTTTTCAACTGTCAGCCATATCACACTTATTTAATTTGAATAACCTCCAAGGTACTGCAGATTTATCCCTAAATATTTTCAAATAATTCAACTGAAATGTATTTTTAAATGAAGAATCACGTAAAATTATTAGTTATCACCAATAAAACATATTTAAGTGAAAATAACTAAACAGAAACAATTATTTGCTGACCTTTGTATTTTTCTGAAACATTCAATGAAGAAGTTTTTTGTAGTAAGACCAAAGATAGGATTTGGTAGGCTGTAAGCAGGTTTAGGATAGTGTTCTGTGATTAATTGTAATATTAAGTAATTTATTTAATGTGCTTGGTAACTATATGCACTAGAGTCTTGTTTAGAAATGAAATAAATTGGTTACACTCATTATGTAATAACTTATAACTATTATTTAATAGAAAATTTTAGAGCTTAATTGTAATCAGGTCCTCAACATTTCAGTATATACATGTATTCTTGTCTTTATTTTTATAAAAACTCATTAGTTTGGATTCAAAACATAAACAGGGCTTCAGTGTAGTAATAAATAAATATTGAATACAATTTTGTTACAGTTTCAATATTTTTAAACCATATCCTCTATCTTCAAAATGTCTTAATATAGCCTACTTGTAGGCAACATCATTATAATTTAAAATCATTGCAGTGAAGATTATACCTTAGCTTTTGATGAATGTAAAAATATATCAGGGAAATCAAAAAACGTAAAATAAGTTTGAAACTCTCAAAAATAAGCAGTGCGTTCTAGTCAATGGGGCAGTTATAATGTTTGTTGTGAAGAGGGATATTATAAATGGTTACAAAAACAATATCTAAAAAACAGTTGAATGGAAACAAAAATCAGATGTAAAAAACATCCAATATACATGCTGTTTCCAAATCAAATCAAATAAAAATATGTATTAAAAAATATATAAAAATTCCCGAATGACTGGAAGCCCGTGCTTTGGGAAAGAACTCTTAAAAGCAGGAAAAGAGGTCTTAACCCTTTTATAACTGTTTGTTAAACACTTGAGAATTTATAAAAGTATCACGTACATTATAAACATTTTAACATCATGAGCTGACAGATCTTAGAATTAGATTGAGAGATACTTTGGTATAATAAATATTTAATAGAATTTAATATATTACAAAGCAGCTTGATGTATAGCATTGAAGTCATCACACAAATTTTTTAAATTTCCTCCTTAATTCATTTTTTTAAGTAAGCAGGAACTAAGACTTGAAGTGAAAGACAAACAAACAAGTGATGCAGAATTCACCACTCCAATAACCCAGGAATGTATTTGTCTATAAGAGACTGGTAGTAGGGCTTTAGGTTTTCAATGTCTGGAACTTTCGAGCTTTTGGTGTACAGATCATATTTGCTGCAACAAACAAAAACATTCATAATTAACATTCTATTTATCATACATTATTTCAAGAAATGACAACTTAATTTTATCTTCAGCCAATTAAATCTTTGCAATATGAATGAGTGTTGTACTTAAAAGTTTTTGTTTGTGTGTACATTGATAAAGATAATATAACATACATTTTTTTTTCTGCCGTATTGTAATAATTTTGTAGAAGGTTCAATTACGAGGGTATTTTGTAGATAAAGGTCCCCAGTGAGCTCTTGTTGTAACCCAGCAAGCTAGTTCAAATCTAAAATCATTGTCACGTTCCTTTCTTCATTCACTTCTGTTCAATTTTTTCCCACCCATATGGGACAATAATTATTCTAGTCATAGTGTTAAAAAAAAATTGTGAAAGAAAATTGAGCCTCCCGCCAAACATGGATCACACTTTGCGGTTACCTTTCTGTAGGAATGGGGTTGGTGATAACTGTTGACAAATTATTCCTGCCATTATAACTGCCAGTTGACAAATTATTCCTGCCATTATAACTGCCAGTTGACAAATTATTCCAATATTTGTCTTATAATATGCTGCCATAACATTTATGTTCTTTTAAATAAATCAATTCGTTAAAATGTGTTTTAGAATGTATTATACTTAAACCCAACGAAGGCCCAACGATTCTTTCCTTTGTAGGGCAACGAATACAAGTTTCCGTTGGGCCAACGTTGGCAAATCGTTAACATTTTGCAAACCATTTCCCAACCGTGCCGACCATTTCCCAACATTGGGCCAACGATGTGTGCTACTTGGGGTTAGTCATACAAAATGTGCATTGGTGTGTTTGAAAGTGCATGAAAGGCTGTAACTTTAACAACGGAGCCAGCCACAGGTGGTCATCAGTATCCACCCTCACAACGATTGAATTAGAGGAATCTTTGCTTACAGACTGGCGTTTTTCAGACTTCCAGGGCTGACAAAAGTCCTAAATACAGAGACATCCCCTACTAGTCCGATAAATGCTCGATTATTGGGAGAGGAGGGGCCCGGTGAACAAACTTGGGGGGGGGGGCACGGGTTCTTATCATCGCCTCGGCATTCAGACAGCCTTGCACATAAGAGAGAATTCTGTATCCCCTAGACAGGAAGCAAATTGTGCCCGAAAACGTAAGAAATGGTTTATTAAAACAAATTTTTTTGACATGTTTGTAGTATTATATAGGTAGTCAATACTTACTTAAACAGCATCACATCCTCCTTCATGTCCAAGTCCTTGGAAGAACACAAGTAATCATAGTCACCACCTTGGTGCCAAGGGTAGAAGGAATGAAATCTTAAAATAAACAAATTTAGTTGAAATTAAGTTGCTGAATATTTGTTCAGGCACCTCAATTGAATCCACGGATTCAAATTTTAAATAAAACAATAATTAATTCCTCTCAAGTAATCTAAGAAGGCAAAATTGTATAAAATGGCTGGTTTTTGGGTGTTGCAGTACTAATTATTTCCTTGCACTTACTTCTTACATCTGATTTACTTCTTGTTTTAATAAACTGGATCTTTGAATACCTATTTAAGTGCAATATCATATAAGGGCCATACAACCTTTTTGTGGTTTCTGAAAGAGTTTTTTATTGGAATGGTAAATCAGGTACTTTGAACTAATTAGAAAATATATGTATTTATTTACTTATCAAGTTATAAGTTTAGCTTGTTTATTTAATTGTATTCATTTCTTTTTTTTGTTCTTAAAAACAAATAATTTATCCTACCCATTTTAATAATACAGTAGACTCCCTCTTATCCGGACTCCTTGGGACCGAGGCCAGTCCGGATAGTGGTTTTTCCGGTTAAACTGACGTCCCCAAAAACTTGTTAAAACAGACTGTTTAAATTCATACTGTATACAGTATTTGACTTAAATTTAGGAAAGCATTGTATTTAGACACGTAATCACTGGTCTCAAATCTTTCCCACAAGAACAGTCGTTTCAGTACTGCCCACTTCCTGCCAATCTAGTCTGGTTAAACCGATGTGATGATAATAATTGTCCGGTTAAAGAGATGTAATTCCCACCGAGTGTAGTCCAGTTAAACCGATGTCCAGTTAAAAGGTGTCCGGATAAGAGGGAGTCTACTGTATCAGTAAAATAGGAACTACCAAGAAGATGAACATTATATATAAAAGTGAGTATTAAGAGTGTAACTCAAAAGAAAAAAATTAGTCAATCAATGTCAAGCTATATAGTGTGAAAAGAATTTATGTTGCTTAATCTTTTTAGGACACAAAATGTTCACAGTTGGAGCTATAAAGTTTCAGAATCATTAGGTACAAGGTACAAGTAGATGTATGTCATAATGAACATATTTTTGGTTAACATTTCAATTGACCTCACTTAATATACTATGGTAAATTTTTAGTAAAAATTTGGCCCGCTAATGCAGACCAATTGGGACCGGACCCTGTTCAGATTACCAAAATAGCTCTGATTAGTCAAAAAATGCAGTAAAATTGTAATTAAAAAAATGTTCAACTGTAAATGGTTATATACATTTACCCCTGCAAATACAAAAGCATCGTGATCTCCAGCAATTGTATTCTTTTTACTACACAACAACCTTTGAATGAGAACCAAAAGAACCCAGTTAGGCTTTTGAAATTTCAAATTTCCTGGTTATCAAAATGCTTGATAACTCAAAGATTTCCAGATGTATGGATATCCTTGTAGGTATTTCAGTACACAAAGCTTGATTTAATACAGTAACCTTATTTCCCAACAGGCTCATAGTGGGTCTCTCGTGTTATTATACCTGATCATGTACAAGGCCCTCTCTGGCAGTTTGCAGTTGTTGTGTCTCAAGACCCTGTAGAGATATTCATCATGACCCCACGACATCATCACATTCTCCAAGCCACAGTTGGGTTTGTACATTCCATACTTAGTGCTGTAATCAAACATTTATTCATTAACTGGAAGCATTTAAGGGATGTAGTTCATTGCAGTCTTGTCTCTTAACAGTCAAGGTCAAGATCTGCGCTTGATTTTATTTTTATGGGTCCATTCGCCTATTGGGTCTGATGATGATTGGAGTGTCCAATCGTAATCGATCACCACTTACCAACTTTTATATGTATTTACCGTCTTGTAAGTCAAGAGTATAAGTGTAAATATATTATTACAAGTGTTATTAGACGTATATATATTTTAGTTTTTTCAGGTAATTTAATAACACGTACTATGCTGATCAAGAAGTTATTCATATTTTAATTAGTTTTGTCAATTTTATTTATTCCATACTAAGTTATCAACATTTCAATAAAAAATATATAGCTCAATACTTTCCCTTTAGAAGCAAATCTAAGTACTCGTTAAAATTAATGTTATTTAAATAGAAAATAAATCTGACAATTTTAAGGGAATATTTTAGTAGAAATACAGCCAGGTAAATGGAAATTTGCTTAGTCTGCAGGTTTGCTGCGGCAGAGGTTTTTATACATTATGTAAAGGAAATCCTTGTCTTTTTACTATCTAAATTAAAATTTTTTGTCAGATTTTTAACAAGCAGAATCATAAAATATTACAATTTTAAATATACAATTTTTGAATTCACATGATATTGTTTATTAGCAACTCTAGGATTTGCATTTGTCAAACAACAGTGGTTTTGCTCATAATCTGTTTTCCACGAGAAAAATCTAACTTGTTTCAAGTTACATACAATTAGAATTAAACATTTGATACTTACAAATACAGCAAAATTGTGACATGGAGGTTATTCTTTTATATGCATTTTTAATATTAAAAGGATATTCAAATCACAGACAAAACATCTTACTTGTACTTGGGGTTTTTGCCGTCAGGGTTGTCATGAAAGCTTGAATCTCGGTACACTATAGAGTTTGCCCAGGCACATCCGACGGGGAATGTATCACCTACTACAGCCCACTGAGGTTCATTGTAGAAAGCCATCACCTTGCAAAAACAACCTTAATTAGGATAAAGTTCTTCAAACTTATAAAACCAAAAGCTATATCTCCGAGAACACATGTGAATCTAATTTTGTTATAGTGTTGCCCAAATAGTGGGCCCAGTCCATCCACCACCCTGACACTTATAATCAAACAGTGAACAGTGGTGGCAGAGGACCAGGAATTCACCCTGTATTCTTCTCCTTTCATTGTATAGGAACTATTATCCGTAAAAGTAGCAAGCCATCAGTCATCACACATTTAGATTGTTAAGGATGTCTCAGTAGGTATCTATCATCCCAGATCTCAGTGAGAGACTTCTAGAATAATGTTGATGGTTTGGGACCACTTTCCCTCAAAAACGTTTTACATATCGCCCTTGAATAAATAGGATAGTAAAATTAAATCATAATATTGAGTCACCACCATTGCGCCATACTTTGCCAAGGTCGTGGATCAGCCCAGTGAGATGGAACCAGTCATCGTCCGGATAGTCGGCTCGGATTCGCTCGGCAGTTTGAAAGGCATGGACGATGTTGGGGATATCAGCATCGGGATCGCTCTCGTCTACCAACTCGTTCAACCTCACCAAAGCATCCATGATTGGTGACTTGAATGTATCGAACTTCAGCCAATGATCCATTCTATCTGTGTTACACAGAGTCAAGTGAGTTAAGGTTCTTTCTAACTTTGTTACAAGGCACTATCCTAAGTGTGGCACAGAGGAAGCATGGACAGAGTTGGGTTATTTGTTGGAGGAGGGGGGGGGTTCTTCATTTTCCTGTTGAGAACTTACTGGGAGTCAGGAGGGTATGGAATATGGAGGGGATTAAAAAACATAGTGTTATTTTACATAAATCTTTCATGTTGAAGCTGAATTCTCTCTCATATTTTGTCAATATATAAATATTTTGATACCTTTTTCAATGAACAAAGCAAATACTTACACATTTTAAGTACCCAAGAAAGTATGTTAGTTATAAATAAATTAAAATAATGAAACTAAGTATGTAAAAAATTTATTATCTTTAATTTGATAACTTTTTTATAAAAAAAACCCATTAAAAAAAAGACTAACAATTTTAGAGAGTATAATTCAATTTCATTAATATAACAACCCACTGAAAAAATATATATATTTGATTTATTATAATAGAAAATAGTTTCATTTAAATGAGTCGAATACGGTAAAACATATGAATCATCACAGTGAATGTTGTAAGTTTAACAATGGTTTATAAACACACGATTTACAGTATTTTTTCTTGATGAAGACATTTTGTATCAATAAAATTAAACTTGTTACATCAACCTATGACATGTATGTAACCTGTACATCTTCTATCGGTTAAATGAAGGATATTACCTCGGACAAACTCTACTGTCTGATAGGTATGCATCTGCAAGTAGGTAAGGCGAACTCTTTCTTTCAAAGGATCATCTTTGTCAATAGTATAGTCTCTGAAAGCCTTCAATTCTTTATCTGCAAACCCAATCTCTGGTCTCATGAGTTCTGATGGGTCAATGACTCTTGGGTCAGGCTGGAAACAATAATTTACTCTTATGAGTTTTTATGAATGCTGTAATACAAATTTACCTACGGCCGTTTGTTAAAGTAGCCGTTTCAGTTCAGTTCTTAGAATTGAAAAGTTTCACATAACAGCATTGTTTACTTTCATAACAGCATAGTTTTACCATAGACTAACCAACACAAGTAGACTTCTCATCCCATTGTAAATTTTGAAGCACGTTTTTCGTGTCTAGTTCATGTACGTGACACAAAGGCGCTAGTGTCGACGAAACTTTGTTTCTATTATTTTAGGGTTAATTTCTTGATTTGTGCTTTACTGTTTGGTTATATAACTAAGGGACAAGTTATTGTTTATGATTAGACCGTATTATTTGGTTAAACGAGGTTTTAAATGGCTGTAATAACGGGAAACAAATTGTAAACAAAACACGACCTCTACAGAAAACCGTACAGAACTAACAATAAAATTGGCTTCAGCTGTTCCATAAGGATGGGAAATCTACTAAGGGAGTATGTTTTATCTATGGTTTTACTCATAACAACACGGGTAACGAACCAATGAGGTTCAAGGATTGAGAGAGAAGAAGTAAAATTGTAATGATTCGAACTTTAACTAATCAGTTGTTCTGTTCATGCCAATTTAATCGTTGGATGGTGTAATTAGTGTTGGTACGATCTTCGTTGCATCACTGTCAGTGGCAATGAGAGGTTATAAACGAAAACATAACCTCTCTTGGAAGTAATGAGTAGTGATTTTTAGTAATTAAAACACTGTCGTAGGGAAAGTAGTGTACCCAACTCGCGTAATAGTGTTAACGAAATCGTTGTGTAAACTACTATTGTGTGCTTCATTTATTTTATGACACATTTTTTGTTTGAATTGATGAAATATGATCATCTTTTTCTCCCTCAGTGATGGAAAGGAAGATCACATTTTCAAATAACAGTCAAAAGTGGTTGAAACAAAAACTACAATTACTATAAATTCTTCTTCTTTTTTTGTTACGTACAACTTCAATGTTTTTACAACATTTCGATTACTTTCTAGATTAAAGTCATCAAATTTATGAAGTAAAATGTTCAGCTATGATTAAATTTGTGGATTTTTATTTGGGTCTGGCCACACATCATACAATTTGTTTAGTTTGTTCTTAGGTATTTAATTAATTTTTTACCATGAGCCTTCTTGCTACCTTCTTGCTAGGTAAGTTGTTTTTCCAAATTTTTTTTATTCTGAAAAGTTACATTCCCTGGCACATTTTTGAAAAGCTTATTGTTTGTCCAAATAATTGAATGATTTCATCAAAATCGGATGAGTTTTGTTTGTGATCTGTTTGCCAAATATTTTTACAAGTATGTTGATATGTCACTTCTAAAATAAAAAAAATTCTATTTATGTCAAAACAAATCAGTTAACTATGAAAAATATTCAACATGTTAGAGACAAAATGTTTATACAACTGTACCAGTAAGTAAAATTGCAAAATCTAAAACATTAAAACCAACAAACACATTATACTCACCACATATTCATTCAAGATCCTCATGTTAAACGAAGATTCAACCACAATACGAATTCACCTGTAACGGAACACTGTTTAAATACTACTGATATCCTCTATTAATTATGTACTATAAATCAATCTCATTATAAGATAACATTTAGGTTGCCTGGTGTTAGCTAAGGTCAAGAGTTAAGAACGATTGCAGCACTGTCACGTGTTTTCGTTGTTTTTTTGCAGAGAAGACGCAAAGTTGTCATAATCCTACAAGACATAAACAACGGTTGAGTGGTGCATTAAAGTTTATCAAAACACAAACAGTTCCTATCTAATTCAAACAATCCAAACAAATTGTTCGATTATGTTTATTTGTGATGTTTTATCGACCATGAATGAAAGACGTAAAATAAACTTTATGGGTTTTGTACTATGGATTCTGGTTTTAGAAGCCAAATTTTGTGAATGTTGGGTTGATTTATTTTAGTTACTTGGGTCCCAGTTCAAGTCAGAAAAGGTTTTCAATCAACATTATTAAATTACTCCCCTATAAAATGGACACTTATAATCAACATCTTTAAAAAATTTACTGTAGATTGACAATGTAAATTTTATCATTGAAGAAGCAAACTAAAACAAGTTCCCATCTAGCTAATTAAGAAACATAATTGTGATGAGAAAAAAAATCTATATGTATAACTATAAAATAAAAACTTTGTGAAAAGCAAATGTTAAACACTGTCTTATGAATAATTTAGTTGGCGAGGTTTGGGCCTAAAGGTAAGGCTCACAAACTAAACATATTGATTAAAATTTAACCAGACAACTTAAGTATACAATTGCTCCATTGTCAATTAGTATATTACTCAAATCAAGCAAAAGACACTCAATCCACAATTCTAGGGTTCACGTATCACACAACTTGTAAAATAAGAAATTAAAATCCTGTAAAAAATGTACAAAGAAGTCAAACATAAATGGAAAAGATTTGTTAAAGCAATTTTCACTAGGTCACACAGCATATAATTAAAATTTACAGAAACCTTAAACTGCAAAGAAAATCAATCAAAGAACCGACACGAGCTTTGACCTTACATTTATCACATAGAAGTGATAACTTAAGTTTATATCACTTTCCTCATCGTAACTAGTTGCTATTATTTCTTAAGTAAATTACGGAAAGTAAATAAAAGAAACGTCTTATAACACTTAAACATATATTTACGCTTATACTGTTACTCACAAGACGGTAAATATACAAAAAAGATGGTGTGGTGATCAATTTCGATTGGACACTCCAATCATCATCAGACCCAATAGGCGAATGAGTAAAATATAGTGTTCACTCTCACAGTATATAATTTCCTATTGGGTCTGATGATGATTGGAGTGTCCAATCGAAATCGATTACCACACCATCTTTTTTGTATATTTACCGTCTTGTGAGTAACAGTATAAGACACATAGGTTTACGAAAAAATCCCATCTTATAGTGGTGTTAAATATTTCAATAGCTTGCCTGACAATTTAAAAAATATAACTAATTTTAATTCATTTAAAAAATGTTTGAAATTATTTCTCACCAACAGACCCTTGTATAAAAAAGAAGATTTTTTCCAACTTCCTGAAATTAGATTTTTTTGATAGTAACAATATTCTCTGTAAGTAGTCTTAAGTTTAATATTGTGTTTTTATAACTGACTCCATTCTGTACAAAATGTGCAATATGAATAAAGTTATTTTGATTGATTGATTGATTGAAGACGTTTCTTTTATTTACTTCCCGTAAATTTAATAACACGTAAAATGCTGATCAAGAAGTTATTAAGTAAATTATCATTAAAGAATATTTAAATGCACTTTTATCTAAACTGTTTAAAATTTTTCAAACTTAAGATCATTAGGTATATAATATTTTTGGAATGCAATTTTGTGTATTCAGGAGTTTCTTGATTAATGAAATGTTGAGCATAGTGTGAAAACTGTTTGCCAATATATAAAAGGAAATTTTAAAAAGGTTTTCTTTTGTTTAGTTTTCTTTCACCGATGCCTTTCCTCCAATGGTGGACTAAAATTAAATTTTAGAAGTAACTTTATCTACAGCTAGGTAATCCAGCATATTTGTTTGCATTTGAATATCCATAATCTTTGTAATTAATGTTTGATTTCCTTGCTAATTAAAAAAAAAACATTTGTTAAAACAAAAAAACTGTAGCATTTATGAGAAAGTTAAGACATATGTTTGTGACAAAAAAAGTACTCCTCACTTTCGTAACTTTAACTTAAAAGTACATTATTTCATATTTACCTCAGTGTTATCAACAAAGCAAATTAATCTTTATAATTTCACTGTTTACAGTTGGTAGGTGAGGATTAAAAGCTTCTTGATCGATTATGTATATATTGCAGAAGGATTTACTGGGTTCAAGTTTAATTCACCAGATACAATCCTATAGCACTTCCAAGTGTCTAGTTTTATGATTAAACTGTTTGTTTACGGTTAAGGAAACTTTTGTTGTAAATGTTACAGTTTTGAAAATATTGTTGTGTTCAAAATTGAATTTAAAAAATTATTGATCAAACACACGTACATAATTATTTTTATTAAAAGGCTACTTACGTGAATAGAACATGAATGAATACAAAATTAATATTTTACAGAAGCAAAACAATATTAGTTCAGCTTTAAAACACTAAACTCTTTAATCGGAAATTATTCCAAATAAACATAAACAAATAAATAAATCATTAACTCATTAGCTTTATTGTCATATAACGTTTTGAATCATAGCATAGCTAAAATTATAATTATATTGTCAAGATTATAACTAAACTAAAATTTACAACAATAATCCTTATGCATTTAATATTTTTAAACAAACTGGAAAAAACTGTCAAACAAAACTCAAACTTAAGTCGTATTAAAATGTATTGGAATTTCAATAGCATTTTTACAAGGGGATATGGCACTGAAAATGCTAATTTCCTTAACATTATCACTAGGTCTTTCAAACTTATACCATGTGGTTTAAAGGCATAATAATAGGTATAAACATAGTTAAATGTGATTTTTTTAGTTAAGTTACACCCTTAATATTTTTTTTGTTTTTTTTTTAGGTAATTAACTAAATTTGATATAACTTCAGTTCTAATTATTGGATTTTAATCATTAAACCATCAGTTTGCAGGGAATAATGCCCTCTAAATATTTAGGTAGAATTATAACAGTATGTTTAATTATTAATTTTTTATGGGTCATTTTGTAATTTTAAAAAAATAAATTGGTTTTCTGTGGAAATAAAAAAATCTTTTTTAACTTTAGAATAGACATACATTTACAATTCTACCTAATTATTTAGATAATGACATTCTAAACACTTGGTAAAAATTTGAATCATGTAGCATAAACCGTGTTGAAGATATATCAAATTTAGTAGTTAAAAACGCTAAAAAACTGATTAGCGGGAATCGCACGCTAAAGTTACACTTGGCAGAGTAACCATGGTGATACTTATTGTTGAGTTATGGATCAATTTTTTGTTTATGTAAGCATTTTATTATTATTTATTATATTATTATGAAATTATTACTTAATTATTATATAATTAATATTAAGAATAATGATTATTATTATTATTAACTAAAATAAGTCAATGACCGGATTTTTTAAAAATATCTTCCGTATTTTTCTTAATATAGTCTAAGCACAAAAAAATATTTTATTTTTATTTTTGACCAATTTTTCTTATTTTTAGCATTATAAATAAAAAATAATAGACAAATTTAAAATATCACTTTTTTGAAAAAAAAAATTCATTATTTCAGTGCCATATCCCCTTAAGTTGTGTTTAAAAATAGAAAATCATACACAAACGTATCAAAGTTGTATTATTAATTGTTAGAGACACAGGAAATATCTTATGAATTATTATGTTTAGTGAGTTTCATTCTTATAGTAACTCATTAGTATCATGATTACTAAAACACTAAACTTTCTATAGAATTAAATGTTATGTTTCTAAGTAAAGCAAAAATACATGATAATTATATAGCTGGAACTTTTGAAATCAATTATATTTCGACACATTGTAAAGAGAGCCATTTTAAATACTTTCATGCCATAACAGTTAAAGGAGAACTTATAAAAAGGTTCATTGTGAAACTTAGTTGTTGAGGTAATTATGTGGGGATGACTCTGTACTTATTGACATAATACACCCACCAACAAACTACAAAGACCCAAGTGGAAGTTTGTTGGCTCCCTAGCAACCAAACTGAAGCTCCCTAGCAACCAAACTGAGCTTTCCGCGCACCACTGAATGACTTCCCTTATTCTTACGATAGGTTCGGTTGTTTTATTCACAAGTTAATTTCAAATTAATCCATTGAGTGTTCTAGAGTATACATTGACTCATTAGGATCACAGATTTTAATTCTACAGTATAACTGATTCATCGCTTATATAACCTAAGCTTTAAAATGTCTCGAAAACCACCACCGCAAGATGATTTGGAAATGAACCAGATGGCTCAAGCCGAATTGGTGAGATTACAAAGACAATATAGAATTATGGAAGGTGATCGACAGTCCTACACAGATGAAATGAAGTTTTATCTGGAAAAGCAAAGGTAGGCTGTGGAAAGATTGTTGATCAAATACGGAACAACACTTTTTAGTAATAAATATTAAGTGAGCCTATTGGGCAAGGTATACTTTTTCTCTCATATTTTTTAGTAAATGTTGCATTGACAGTTCAAGAATAATCTCGAAAGTTAAACACAAACTTAGCTTAACTCATATGAAAAATACCATTAAAGTTATATAGATAACTTAATGGTATTTTTCATATGAGTTAAGCTAGCTATTTCCTATGTTCCATATGTTTGTTTATACTGGTGATTACGATTGTAGCATCAAAGTACTTATACAGGACATCGTTAATACGAATTAAGAAAACTAAACCCTAAAATGAACCTAGGTCTATAAATACAACCAAAACTGAAAAGATGAGACTGAAAAAAATGCTCGACTTGTTTTGTAACCTTCCAAAGCATTATTTTCCTCAGTATAAGTATGACAACAATCAGTACAGCTTGTATATAATAGATCATAGATTCAACATTAAAACGGAGTTCACTTGTATATACAGGTTTTAATAGAGCAAAGAAAGTAAACGAGAAAGATCTACAACGTTATATTCTTTATAATGCCCAGCAAATTTTGGTTATTTGTTAGATTTTGTAAAATGTGAAACAAATATGACATTACTTGGTCAATGACACTAAAATCTGGGATATGTACATATCAGGCGGATGTTGCTAAACTGACAAGTGGTTACATGATTGTTTGTCAGTCAACAAAACAGAGCTAGTAACTTCGTTAGTTAGCGAAACCATTTGATTCAGCTACATGACAAATACTAACACCAACAAAATCCTTCCTAACTGTTTACATGTCAGTTTAATCCCTTAAATGGAAACAGTTACAAAACGTTTATAATCTAAAAGCTCAGTACTGTTATTTAATTTATTGAACCATTCCTATTTGTGCAGTTTTTAATCCTACAAATCGCCCTTAAGTAGTAGGTAGCCTACAATAAAAAATGAAAACCAAACTGCTAATTTTCTTACCTTACACTCTAGTTCTGGACTAGTTAACTTTAGTGATAACATTTTATGAGGCGTCTACAAGGTCATCTGATAAACATTGAGTCATTATTGTTACCTTTCTTCCTCTAAGTAGACAACTTTTGGTTTCATAAAATTGAAAAACCAATATAATTATAAGGAAACTTTTGACTATTTTACATCAAAAACATTTCTATCCCATCAATATTCAAAAGAGGATAAATATTTTTGTGAATTAATTTCTAGTCATTGGTTAAGTAGGTATTTAGGTGTTATCACTACTTAAAATATATTTGAAGGGAATATCCTATATCTCTTCCAAAAGATCCTCCATGATAGGCAAATTCTCAAATGAATGTTTTTAATAAAATGTTCAAGTATAAAGAAACGAGAAGCAAAACTCTTTTGGTACTCTGTGTTAAGGGTAATAGAACCTCTAACCACTAACTATATTTACTTTTTTCATAGATTTTTCTCTGCAGTAGTTGGATGTTAGATGCAAATCAACTGCTCCGCCAAAACTAAACTAATGCCACTGGAAAGAAGGTGTTTTACGGTAGAGATCTACTTCCATGTCATGTTAACGAGATTATTTTCCAACTAAAGTAGAACCATGAGAGTGATTATTACAACTCCTCTCATTCCTAGGCATTGAGTTCTTGTGATAAGGCAAGAAGCAAACTAAGATTGTATTTAGCCCATAGCTCCCTATCTATAGGTATCTCTCCCAGGAGTTTACAAGGAGTTCAATATAAGCCTCACTAACAGTTAACAGTTTTTTCCAGCTTAAGCTATAGTTCCACAGACTTCGGAATTTCCAACATGCGTTGCAAAATTTTCCGTTACAAAAATTACGCCGCCTAAAATCCAGAGGGGTGGTTCCTGATCTGAGACTGCGGAAATAATGTTGCGGAAATTTAGTTGTGTTCAAACTAGTGACGGGAGTATTGATAGGAAGAGGAAAGCCCTCGTGGCTTTGATGATTTATGATGATATTGATGATGATGTTGCTGATCTTTCCTCTTTATTGGTGTCAACTCATAGTGATCGAAGTGATATATTAAAAATCGGGACAGTGAAAGAGTTTACAACATACTCATTCGTAAACATTTGGTAGACAATGAAACAATGTTTAAGCAGTACTTCCGTGTGTCAAAAGACTAATTTTTTTTTGTGGTGTCATAAATGATTACTTACCCACCAACCATACTAATCAAGACAAACAACCTTTGAATGCCGAGATTAAACTAACGGTAACATTAAGGTATGTACTGAAATTGAGTAAACGTTCATAAACACCTCTTTACTGCACAAGACATAATGTAATTGCAATAACCACTAGGTCACAATAATTGATATTTCCTCTCCGCTGGCAGATTCTGCATTGCCACTGCTCTCAGACCAGTATGATTTATCCGCCATGCGGAACCGTAAATTCCGGACGTGCAAACGCACGTCAGTGGAACCGGTCACAAGAAACTCCATTGAACCAGTGACGTATTTCCGCAGCGGAAAATTTTGCACCGCACGCTGGAAATTCCGCAGTCTGTGGAACCATAGCTTTGTTAGCCTACTGGGGAAACCGACTTTTCCTAAAAAGAAAGCCCGATTCCTTCTTGAGATTCCATCCAAAGTTTGAATAACTTCTTAATATCTGTCAACTGCAATATAAGATGGAAATGTTTCCTTGGGAGCAATTGAGTTTATTATACCACTTCCTTACCGGGGTAGGTAGATGAAGTGGCATCAGTAGTTAGCAAGTAAAACTCGACTTCAATGGCTTATGGTCTTAGATTTGGCTCTTAGAAAAAAAACATTGTTTTACATTGTTTTATTTTGTTGTTTAGTTTTCACTTAATTGCTGAGTTCAGTGTATCAACTATGAAGGTATTATCATTTTTATTTCACACCACAAATAAGTATATCTTCATTGACTTTTGGCTGATCACTGCAACACCCCTATGTAAGAAAGGTTGCACAGTTGTCAATTGTATTTAGAAATTATTCAATACCTTATAAGGTAAATGCACTCCTTGATTTTTTTATTTAATTTCAGGAAAGTGATTTATGCTTTAGAGAAGGAAAAGGACGAACTGATTACCAATTTAAACATTTCAAAATCCCTCCACAATGAATGGGAAAGTAACATTCAATCGCAAAGACTTCTTATGCTTTTATCAAAACAGGTAGGTAAATCATTATTGAAATAACCCATTTTTTTTTCTTTTTGTGAAGCCCAATAAGCTTTCAATAAATTAAAATGTAGACAAATGATAAATGTGTTCGTAATAAAGTACAATTTTGCACTATAATTTGGATCAGTAAATCTTTAAGAAATGTGTAGTGTTTAACCAAACATGCATCATTTGTCTCACTAATCCATGGCACAACACAGTTTGATAGTTGTTGATTTATTGTATGATTTAAAATTGGATACCATAATATACTGATAGTATAACATTTTTAATCCTCAGGATGAGCTCGAAGACCAAATAAAAACAGAAAAATCACAGCTTACGGAATTGGAATCACAAATAAGAAAGGTAGAAAGAGAAGTTTTAAACTTGAAGAAGAAAGACATCCCAGAACTTCAGCTTTGTGAAAAGGCCATTGAATGTGCAAGGAACATGGATCTATTGGAAAACAGACTTTATGTGGTCAGTATGCTCCGTAGATGATGCTCTACTGTTGTTGAAATTGATTCAAGCTAATATTTTACTTAATTAATAGCTGTTTAGTTTGACCTCTTACTAGAAACTAATATTTTCTGTCTAAATACCATAATATGAAACTTCAATGTCAGATACAAATTGAAATAGACATTGCTAGAATGCTTAAAACTAACTATCTAACACCAAAGGATAGGTCTCTCAGGTAGTAGTAATGCTTGTGCAAGGGTAGCTCCCGCCACAGCCCAGTGAGCTAGTTCAATCCTGAGACCAATATCATGTTCCGATCCGACTATTCTAACCGGTTTTCACCCCAATGGGATGATAGTCCAGTCATATAGTATCAAAAAACTGTTGAAAGAAATTGACGCACCCAATGGCACCAAGTCAATCAATTGGGCATAAGGGGGAGGGAGTTCTGAGGTAGTCTTAAAGATTTTCAAGATGTTTTCCATGATGTAGGCCGACAGATGTTCATTACTCTCATTTATAGCTTTGACCAAAGTTAGTAGAATTTCGCCTGTGATCAAACTATTTTGAGCTAATGGGGGTATCTCTAATGTTACGTCTAATATTATGTCTAATGTATGTCTAATGTATATGTTATGTCTAATGTGTTACGGACAATGGTCAGCCCTGGAAGGATGAAGCACACTGATATGCAGACTCGATATTTTTCTTCGTGATAAACGCCCACTGCCCTGCTGCCATCTTCATGCAAATATGTACAAGCTTCTACTCACTTGCCAAGTCACTAATACACATTCTCCACGTCAAGCCACTTTTATGCTTACAACTGTTAACTGTCAACAGAAATCACCAAAGATTGCCCTGTTACTTATACCTGTTACAGAAACAGATTCATACTTGGGGGTTGGAGGAGCGTCAATTTTCTTTCAAAACGTTTTTAAATGCTATGACGAGACCAATCGTCCAATAGGGAACCAGCCAGAATTGTAGTGGATACAGTAAGAATCGCAAGAAGGTCTCATATTTGAAGTATCCCCCTTGGTTTCAAAGTGGGGTCAATGAAGACCTTAATTCACAGGCAACCCCTATAAAATAGTTCTAAGAGAAGATTATATTGTTATGCTACTCATGATATCCAGTTAATCAATCTTTTGAACTATCGTTAATCTTTTAACATTCGTAAACATAGTTCCCTTTCTCTGTTAAAGCCAGTTTGATTTAAATGTGTTTGCTTAGTTCTTACCTGGATTCTTACCACTTATAATAACAAAATAACATTAACATTAAAATTTAAAGTTTTCTTTCATTGTAAATAGATAAATGTCTATAACTAAGTCTTGTTTCAGGCTACTGTAAATTTAAACAAAATGCTTACAGGCAATGGGAGTTTACGGCAAGAAATTAATCATTTACTAAAAGAAAGAGCGCACTTCAACAACCTTTATCAAATGTTAATCGGTCAATTCACTACAGGGAAAAAAATCATGTTGGATCTCATAGAACAAGCTACATTAGCTTATGATCAAAGGTAAGATGCATTCGAGATTTTGTAGAGGCTTTGTGACTAATAGATTTACAAACATAATGATCTTTAGTTATATTCATCTACAATGTTTTATATAGGAAATCATAAATGGAACACTTTTCATACATACATAGTGCTCATTCTTCCTGAGGAACATTTTTTGAAGTTATAAAGGGTTTATAAGTCCTATCCAACAAATTGGGCCTTATGATGATTGGTCAAATTGTATAGTCATTGTAACATCTTTTATATATTTTTTTTGTGGTAAACACCTTCAGTACCTACCTATATTTTTCTTCAACTGAAAAAGTAAAAATATTACCATAAAACAAATAACAATTGGAAGTCCTGATACACAGTCCAAATGGGAACTATTATTAAAAAAAAACTTGATGCAGTTTTCTTCAAATCTAATTTCAGAGAAGAGGCCCAAGCCAAACTGCAAGCTTTGAAAGAAAGAGATAGGGCCGATTTGCTACTGCACAGTCAAGAAATGCGAGAATTACAAAGGAGATTTGACTTGGACTCAAAACTTCAAGATTTTCTTGGGATAAAAGGTCAAAAGAGGATAATGGCTGATTTAGAGGCTAAGGAGGCAGTCAAGAAACAACAACAAAAAGAAGCGACAGAACAGCTTATCACAACGTACAACTCAATACTGGAACAAATCAAGGAGTTTTCTGGTGAAAGTGATGTAGACCGACTGGCAGCGAGGTTTTTAAAACAAGAGGAAGAAAATTTTACACTCTTCAACTATGTCAATGAACTCAACAATGAGGTATTATTTCAAAATTGTTTTTATTCTGTGCTTCCCCTGATAAAATTAAATTTTAATCTTCAATATTTATGTTAACTTTAATATTTATGATCATTACTGGTGGACCTATTTTTTGTGGAATATTTTGTGCTTGTAACAGTTTTATATAAGAGCTACACGATGAATGTGACTTTTATAAAAAACCTGGCAACTTTCATTGTGTAATTATTTTAATTTATCATGCAAAAAAAATTTGATTGGTTGAAAAAGTCGACACCACACAATCAATGAATGAATCATTGAGATAGTTTAGCTTGGTTTAAAAACACAGTCCTTGGAGGAATGGAATACGCCATAACACAAGATTACACATTTAAATCTAAACTATCAGCTCAAGTAAATAATTTTGTTTCAGCTTGAAGTTTTGCAAGAGCAGACAAATGAATTGATGTTGTCAATAGACGAACAAAGGAACATCAACAAAGAAAGAGCAGCCCAGCAACAGGAGACAATCACATCCTTAACTGAGATCCTGGATGCCAGGACCAAGGACACTCATGAGGCTCTACAGGGACAGAACTTGAGCATATCCATCCTGGACGGACTACTCAAGGGAGTTGAAACTCTCTTCTCTGAGAGCAGATGTGACAAAGCTCCAATCCTTCACCTACTAGGTATTTTACCTTACTGAGCCAATGACAACAAGTAAAAGAATAGATTATGTCGATTAGGATCGTGTGTAAGGAGGGTAGTGAGACAATTAACAGATATCTAACAGCAATTATTGAGATCTGTAAAAAAAATAGAGCAATGGGGATGATGGAATGGTTCGATGGATTAAGTTTAAGAGAAATGGAATTTACTGTTTTAAGAATATTAGTGTCTGTTTTATAGTTTTTAAGAGAACCATTTTTGAGCCTCCCCAAAACACTCCTAGCAGGAGGCCAAAATCGCTATTATGTTTATAAATCTGTTTTTATAATTTTTAAAAGGTATACTAAACTTGCATAGCTTGACATCTACCTGCAATAATAGAGTATAACCTAAATAGTTTGAAACTCTGTGGACTAAAGGGGTGTCAAACTATAGTGAGTATATGGACCATTTTAACAATTAGGGAGATTTAAAACACAAATTTATTTTGAAATGGATGTATAGGACGCAATAGGAAGTGGGATGGTTGAGTTATTTATGGAAAAGGCAGTGATGCACGTTAGTGAAAAAAAGGTCTGGTCACTGACCGACTAACCCATCAAGGACACTATATTGGTCGCTGCTAATGTCTATTCACATTAGCTAGGCCTGTTTCAAAGTATACAGACTGTTGAACTAAGGTGTATTAAAGTTCTACTGTACTAATTAACCATCCCAGGGTTGTTTGGATTCTGTCAATAATTTAGTTGAACCATTTAAACTAATTGTACATAGGAGAAGAAGCTTCAGTGTCAACATTCAACGTGATGTTGTTCCTTGGCATCATCAACCAGCAAATAGAAGACTTGATGATTGTCCCTGAGCCAGTCACTCCAGTCCAACAATCTGCTCGTAGTAAAGCTACACCTCCCAGCAAGACTCATTCTACACTCTCCAGTCCACTGTAAGTAAAGCCACACCTCCCAGCAAGACTCATTATACACTCTCCAGTCCACTGTAAGTAAAGCCAAACCCTCCAGCATGACTCATTCTACACTCTCCAGTTCACTGTAAGCAAAGCCACACCTCCCAGCAAGACTCATTCTACACTCTCCAGTCCACTGTAAGTAAAGCCACACCCTCCAGCAAGACTCATTATACACTCTCCAGTCCACTGTAAGTAAAGCCACACCCTCCAGCAAGACTCATTATACACTCTCCAGTCCACTGTAAGTAAAGCCACACCCTCCAGCATGACTCATTCTACACTCTCCAGTCCACTGTAAGTAAAGCCACACCCTACAGCAAGACTCATTCTACACTCTCCAGTCTACTGTAAGCAAAGCCACCCCTCCCAGCAAGACTCATTCTACACTCTCCAGTCCACTGTAAGTAAAGCCACACCCTCCAGTAAGACTCATTCTACACTCTCCAGTCCACTGTAAGTAAAGCCACACCCTCCAGTAAGACTCATTATACACTCTCCAGTCCACTGTAAGTAAAGCCACACCCTCCAGCATGACTGATCATTCTACACTCTCCAGTCCACTGTAAGTAAAGCCACACCCTCCAGTAAGACTCATTCTACACTCTCCAGTCTACTGTAAGCAAAGCCACCCCTCCCAGCAAGACTCATTCTACACTCTCCAGTCCACTGTAAGTAAAGCCACATCCTCCAGTAAGACTCATTCTACACTCTCCAGTCCACTGTAAGTAAAGCCACACCCTCCAGTAAGACTCATTCTACACTCTCCAGTCCACTGTAAGTAAAGCCACACCCTCCAGCATGACTGATCATTCTACACTCTCCAGTCCACTGTAAGTAAAGCCATACCCTCCAACAAGACTCATTCTACACTCTCCAGTCCACTGTAAGTAAAGCCACACCTCCCAGCAAGACTCATTATACACTCTCCAGTCCACTGTAAGTAAAGCCAAACCCTCCAGCATGACTCATTCTACACTCTCCAGTTCACTGTAAGCAAAGCCACACCTCCCAGCAAGACTCATTCTACACTCTCCAGTCCACTGTAAGTAAAGCCACACCCTCCAGCAAGACTCATTATACACTCTCCAGTCCACTGTAAGTAAAGCCACACCCTCCAGGAAGACTCATTATACACTCTCCAGTCCACTGTAAGTAAAGCCACACCCTCCAGCAAGACTCATTATACACTCTCCAGTCCACTGTAAGTAAAGCCACACCCTCCAGCATGACTCATTCTACACTCTCCAGTCCACTGTAAGTAAAGCCACACCCTACAGCAAGACTCATTCTACACTCTCCAGTCTACTGTAAGCAAAGCCACCCCTCCCAGCAAGACTCATTCTACACTCTCCAGTCCACTGTAAGTAAAGCCACACCCTCCAGTAAGACTCATTATACACTCTCCAGTCCACTGTAAGTAAAGCCACACCCTCCAGCAAGACTCATTCTACACTCTCCAGTCCACTGTAAGTAAAGCCACACCCTCCAGTAAGACTCATTCTACACTCTCCAGTCCACTGTAAGTAAAGCCACACCCTCCAGCATGACTGATCATTCTACACTCTCCAGTCCACTGTAAGTAAAGCCACACCCTCCAGTAAGACTCATTTTACACTCTCCAGTCCACTGTAAGTAAAGCCACACCCTCCAGTAAGACTCATTCTACACTCTCCAGTCCACTGTAAGTAAAGCCACACCCTCCAGTAAGACTCATTCTACACTCTCCAGTCCACTGTAAGTAAAGCCACACCCTCCAGCATGACTGATCATTCTACACTCTCCAGTCCACTGTAAGTAAAGCCATACCCTCCAACAAGACTCATTCTACACTCTCCAGTCCACTGTAAGTAAAGCCACACCCTCCAGCATGACTGATCATTCTACACTCTCCAGTCCACTGTAAGTAAAGCCATACCCTCCAACAAGACTCATTCTACACTCTCCAGTCCACTGTAAGTAAAGCCACAGCCTCCAGCAAGACTCATTATACGCTCTCCAGTCCGCTGTAACCAAACCTGCCAACAATACAACTATATATTTGCCTGATTACGTCGTTTTCTGTGTGGAATCAGAACCTATTCTCATTTTATAACAGATTTATACACCAATTTTTAGAATTGTAAGCCTTGTATTGTTGTGTTGGATATGACCTTGTTCAAATGAGAAAATAGGTTTAATCTTATCATATTTCAGATATTTGATATAAATTAATCATGTGAGCAGTTAATATAGAAGGAGATTCTTATCCTTCTGCTGATATCTTAGACCCTCCCAAAAGTGTCATTTATCTGAATATGTCCTTACACATGATCATATCTAACCACCTTTGGATAAGTTCGATCAAACTCATGTCATAAATTAGTTATACAATGTCATTCAAATCACCATCAAGATTGTATTTGGCTTAATATGTTATATCTAGAATTTCACGCTTAGAAAGTAGAATCACTGTCAGACTCAACATTATACGAGTAAATTGTTATACACTTTATATTGTACATAATTTACATTGCTTTAAATAATCCACCTACTGTATAAATTGGCTGTTTCAGGACTGGAGATACAGGCTATTCATTCTACAGAAAATAATTACTGTTTTGTACATTTTTAATAAAACTTGTTAAAGACACGACAGAGTATCTAAATACCCAATGCCGAGTAAATTTATTTAACAACTTTAACCTGCTATCAGGAATTTTTATGGTTTCTTGTATTATTATATTTTTGAAGATTTTTTTTTGTTTTATTTCTTTTATGTCATATGTAGTTCCACAAGGTATGCCTTTATTTAATCACGATAAAAGCAAAAAAAAGGAAATAAAAAAATGTGTATCCTAATCTACTATAGAGCAGTAAAACAAAACCAAACAGGTGCAGCTTCTATCACACTCAGTAATTATACTGTCAACTTAGACAAATAGACAATTCTCTTTATTTCTTATTTCATTAAGAAATACTGTGGCACCATCCAATATAGGCATGTCTTGCTTCACAGGGGTAAAATTTGTTATAATTGGTCGAATAAATCTTTAACCAAAGTGAATAAACTTCCACGCCAAGCCAGAGACCCTGTTTTTTTTTTCAGATGTTTCATATCACTAATTTCATCAGTGGTTAATTACCAGGCTTTGCATCTGGAACTCAAACACTGGACCAGCTTGGCTCAATATAATTAATTAATTTCAAGCCACCTTGGGTATGATTAAATTCCTAAATGTCTCAAATGAATCAATGAATTTAATAACTGACAATCTATATACCTAATAAAAATTCTAGAGAAAAACTAAAATAAAAACAAAAAGTTTATGAATTTGGGTTTAGTAATAATATTCACATCAAAGTCAAATGTTTATTTTAACTTATTCCATAAAAATTGTGTCATAACACTAAGCTTTGTCTAATGCTCACATTGTTTTTGAATTAATACACAATTATATTGTTAAATCTAAACTTATTTTTATTTCAACTTAAATCCAATAAAGAAATTGGGGGTGAATTTTGACAAGGAAACATTTACTTTATTATATATTATGTGTTCCTAGTAAAGTAATAGGCAAACTATGGTGAGATCAAATTCATCTTAACGCTCGTTATAAACTAACAAACCATATGAAAGCAACCAAAATAAGCAAAATCAATCAAAACATGATTTCTTTAAAATAAAAATATGACTAAACATTATATTTACAGTGAAATAATAATGATTTCACACTTGAGTCCAGTAGCAGTAGTATTTTTGTTGCATTTGTATAATGTACAAAATATGTATTATCTTTGATATTAGGTCTGTATAAGGTTCAACTGAAAGATTCCCTTTCCATTCCACCAAACATTGAGTTTTGTGTTAACACTATATTTTACTTTCAATAGGCACTTGTCTTACAAGCTACATCATGTAAATGATTGTGATGGTACTAAAATTAAGGATACAAGCTTTTTCAATGTTGCTGTGCTATCCAAAGTGTTTATCATTCAGCAGCACTTCTTATCTACTGTCTTGCCTAAAGGTACAAGTCCTGAGGAGAGAACCTCATCATCTTCTAAAGTCAGCATGTCTCTGAAAATATGCGTTTGTGTAAAGATTCATTGACAGATTCCGATTCAAAACCAGTGTGAGAGTTAAAGTGAATAAATGATTTAAATCCCAGTGCATCTTATTTCAAGATATACACCGGAGAATATCCTGTAAAATCTTCTGTTTATAATAGGTTACGTACCTGGTTTCGTCTTCAGTCTTAACTTTAGTCTATGGATGACTAGTTTCGGGTACAAAGACCCATTATCAAATCCTTATTTAAAACATCATATTGAATATGGTCAAACATCCGACGTAAGTCTTCATCAATGTATACATGCAGGTCGACGACACATAAAATTTACACATTTAAAAAACAAAAGTTACAAATACATTTAATATGATAGGCCGGCCACATTGAATACGGGACAAACCGACGCAGGTTACACGGCGGACACGACAGAACTCAGGAACAGGGTACGTAACCTATTGTATATTCGAATATCAGTCTCGGTGGCAAAGATTTTTAAATCTTCAGTTTCTCAGGGAAAATAAGTTGCAGCACTGAAATAGTTATATAAAATTATTGTAATTACATAAATTAGAAAATTGTAGACCTACATGGTTTTTATGATAACAAATTATTCATATATACAGTCATATGTTTAATGCTTTAAAAAAGAAGATTAAGCTTTATTCTCATCTTAATGTATTTCTGAAACTCTGACCACAGTTTTAAGACACTATAAAGTTTTTGCTTATCCCAAGTTAAAGAACTTGAATTATATTAATTACCTTTTTGTTGCGTGTGTTCTTGAGCAAGATGTTTGTGTATCACACCACTAACACTATTGTCTATATATATATATATATATATATGTATATATGTATATTTGTATATATGTATGTATACAATATTTATTTATTTATTTACAAATAATTACACACGCACACTCAATAAAGTG